GTGGACTATCACTCAATTAAGGATCTATTTCTTGTTGGYTCTATTTCCCTTCCTCATATAGCTTTCGACTTACAGATTGCTGACACTCTCACAAAGCCTATGATGAGATCTAGACATCTATTTCATGTGGGCAAACTGATGCTTAGGCTGTGTTTGGTTGCGGTGCAAATTTATTTGCACTAGTACAAATGCGTGGGAGTGCAAATGTAAAAAATGCAAATTCTTGTTTAATTTTGTTTTGGGTCTTACTTTATTCTGCTTCATGCCTTAATTTACTTCATTTGTATTGCAATTAAACAAAATAAGCTAAAATTTGAAACAAAAATAGGTCAGAATTTACACTCAAATCATTTGCACTGCCATGGTTTTGCATCAGTGTAAACTTATTTGCGTTGCAACCAAACACTCAGTTTGAGGGGGAGTGTAGAGATACTTGATGTACTGTAGTTCTATGGTCCCTGTTGTACCATAGCATTTATTTTCTTTCTTATCTTTCAGCCCTCCAAGGGCCTCTTTGTAATTATTCTTTTTTATCTTTAGCCCTTAAAGGGCGTCTTTGTAAATATTTATAAATAATAAGATATACAGTCTCTTTTGGGGTGGGGGTTGATCAATTTCAGTTTGACACCCCTGAAACTCTTGGTGTTCTCTTAACCTAGAAGATTGACAAGAATCAGCTCCAGGTGAAAAACGTCTCTCTTCCATCTTCTCCTATATACTCATTTTTAGTTTTTTTTGTGGGTCTTGCCCTTGCCAAACCAAGCTTCAACCTAGAGAAGATTTTGTCTCCTTGTGCCTCCTTGAAAGCCCTTTATCGTTCATTGTCTGCTCCTCCTTTCCCTTTTAAGGCAGTTTGATGCAAACCTGTTCCCCCTAAGGTCTTGGCTTTCTGTTGGGAAGTGTTTTATGGGAAAATAAAACACCTTGGATAATCTACACAGGAGAAGACCCTATCTCTGCATTTCACCCAATTGGTGTACCCTTTGCAGATCCCATGGTGAGGACTGCAATCATTTGCTAATCTGCTGTACTGTTACAGTAGATTTGTGGGATTGACTCTTCTTGATTTTTGGATGCAGGTGGAATAGGCCAGCAGATGTAAGCTTACTTTTTGACCCTTCTACCTTTGCTTTGCGCCATCGAAGAGGAATGGTTGTAAGAGCAGCACTGCTTTGGACTGTGTGGACAGTGTGGGACAGTGTTGTAAAAGCAGGGTTGTAAGCAGGGTTGTAAGAGCAGGGTTGTAAGCACTGTCCACACTGTGTGGACAGTGTGGGACAGTGTTGTAAGCAGGGTTGTAAGAGCAGCACTGCTTTGGACAGTGTGGGAAGAAAGGAATGCCCGAATATTCCAAGAGAAGGTGCAAAGCCAACAAGATTTGAAGGACTGTATCCTATATAGGGTTATAGTGTGGCTAAAATCTTCAGAGTTGTTTCAGCAGTTTTCTTTTAATGACTGTGGAAGCATTGGGCAGAAGTGGCAAGCAGTTCTTCATTGAAGACAAAGTTGCACATGAGCTGGGTACCTCCACCTGAAGGCTTCCTGAAATTAAATTTTGATGGGAGTAGCTTGGGCAACCCAAGCCCTTCTAGGATTGGAGGGGTTTTAAGGAATGGAAGTGGTTCTATGGGTCTTCTTTTTTCAGGTCCTATAGGTGAGGGGGACTCCACAAGGGCAGAACTTTTAGCTGCACTACAAGGGGTACAGTTTGCTGTACAGATAGGAGTGGAGCAGCTACTAATAGAAGGTGATTCTAAGGTGGTTGTGGGGTGGTTACAGAATCCAGACTGTAGCGTGGTGCTTCAGAAATGAACTTAAAAGATTCAAATGTTTGACGGGAAACTTGTATGTTAGAATACAATGGGTAGGGAGATCTTCTAATGCTATGGCTGACTGTTTAGCAAAGTAAGGGGCGAGGAGGGAACATTTGTATTGGGCTCGGTTGTAATCTTTTTTTATGTTTTTGTAGGGTTTGAGAGGTTGCAGCTCGTGCCTCTCCAAGTGTCTCCTGTAAAAGTTGCTTCTATTTTCTCTCTAGTAAATTCTTCATTTATCAAAAAAAAAAGAGAAACCTAGATAAGATTTTGGTCACATGCACTACATTAGAGTTTCTTAAGCTGTGTGACTTCTTACAATTCACTCCATTAAAACAACTCATTCTTCTCTTCACTCATGCTTCGTCGACCTAAGTCTACACCCAACCTTTCGACCTTCACCTCCTTAAAACAAAAAGAGTCTCCAACATGGTTCTCATGCTGATCACCAATGTTGTCTCCATCATCCAAGGTTCAAAGTATCAACACATATCGGCCCGTATCGGCCGATACGTATCGTTCCGAGACCCCTCCGATACGCCCCTACGGTGGGTGTATCGGAGGTCTGATCGGTTCAGGGGGTAGAGGAGACCTAAACCGGCCTCCCTGAACCGGTTGCGAAAAAAAAATAAAAAAAAGCCTGAAACACTGTATCGATTCGCCCGAAACGCCCATACCGACGTATCTTGCGTATTGGTATTTTGAACCTTGCCATCATCTACCAGCCCTTTTCCTCTTGACACTTCTCCGATCTTAGATTCCACAAAGTCGTCAGTACTTCCTTCCCCAACTTCCTTGACCCCCTCTTTAGACCCACACATTCTCGGTGGGGATTATCTCCTTGGAGGCTAGTAGGTCTACTGAACCTTAGGCCTATACCAAACCTCCTTTAAAGGGAATACCTATTGAGATGAAGATTAGCAAAGGGATTTAAAGAATGAAGCATAGAAGAAAATACTAGAGGGCCCGGAAGTTCAAATCCTTTTGTCTTGTTGAAGGGGGTCCAAACAAACTTTATTAAGAAGACTCAATAATTGGGTTAGACTCTCAATCTCCTTATCCCTTAACCCTCTACAGAACTCAAAATCCCAAATTGGTGCCATAGGAGTTTCCTAAGAGGAAAAGAATTTTGACATAGGCTTTTTTTTTATACCAAGGGATAGTGAACAATGACAAAAAGATGTTCTTCAACGGAGCCTCTCCAACCCAAGTACTAAATTACAATTACACACATCATACGTGACAAAGTTGCGAAATTGAGAAAGAATGTTGTGAATTGCCTTATTATTCAAAAAAAAATGTTGTGAATTGCCTTCCAAGGTGTTGCCAAAGATGCCCATCGAGATACTTCAATGTCCCATTTGTTCTCTGAGTGACCATGAATGCTTCCTACCACCTCGTGTCATAATCTCTTTCTCTCTCTCTCTCTCTCTCTCTCTAGTGGTCACCTCCACACAGCCACTTCCCCAATAAAGTTGTGTTCTTTTGCACTACATTTCCTCTTCCCAACCCTCCCTCCTCTTTAGTCCTACACACCACTTCCACTTTATTAGATAATCCTTCCTACTCTCCTCCGATTCTCAAAGGATATCCCTCATCAATTTCTCTAGTTTCTTGGCTTTCCTAGAAGGAATCCTGAAGATAGATAGAAAGTATGTTGGTAGGTTAGCAAGAGTGGCTCTAATCAATGTGATTCTACCCTCAAAGATATGTAGTTCTTCCACGAAGCCAATCTTTTCAAACTTCTCAACAACTGGGCACCAGAAGCTACTCTCCCTAGGGTTTGCCCCTAATGGAAGTTCCAATTAAGTCATAGGCCAAGTAGAAATAGAACATTCTAAACATTTCACAATAGCCTCCTCCTCTCCATTTTCCAAATTCAAAACATGCTTCTCTATCTTGTTACACTTAGACAACTATGAACCATGTTAGCTTAGCTGGGTTCATGAAAAAATCTGTGCACCAAATAGTTTCTTTAGTCTGTATTTGCCCATAAGAATTTTCCCACAATATTTCTTTTCTCACTTGTTTCCCAAGGAACTAAAACGCAGCCTTATGGTTTAATATGGGTAAGTATGTGAGTTATTATTGAGATTACTTGTGTAAATTGGAACCTATGTTACATGAATATTCAAAATTTAATGCCATTTTTGTTTTTCACTTCAGTTTTCACTTTGATTTTTTTCAGAGAGGGTAATAAGTATATAATATGTACGTACCAAAATGAGGAGAGTCTTGTTCATGAGGTATTTGGGTAACATAAGTTGCAGGACATGACTTAGAGCTGCGTGCTAAACATTTTAGATGTACGTACATATTCTAGTTGATGCACTAAGGACTAAAAAAGCATAGAAGCGAGTGAGTTGATGCTAGTTTATGATTCTCAAATATCTTGGCAAAGGGCTATTTCTCTTGGGGACCGTTTATAATGGTTGAGGAAAAACTGAATTTGTTGTTTTGTCTTTTAGTGGATTATTCATTAAGTAGGTTGTAAGCTCCTTTGAATGGAATGTTGGGTTAATAACTTTACCCTTAAATATTGCACTGTATGATTATTTTGTGCACTAAAAGGGAAGGCAAGAAGCCATTCAGGTTAGCCATTTCAGCCATTACCAAACAGCCCCTTACTCATACTGCACCCCTAGGTATCCCTTATTATTTCTAGTACTCCTTCCCTCAAGTTGTACATTCTGCATATCTTTAAAAGTACTGCTTATGGTAATTGTCTTGATGGAGCTATTGTACCACTCGGAAGATGATAACTTCTTTCTTCCATTTATGGAGTCCATGACTGTTGGGTTCTGAAGACTTGCAGTTATGGATGAACCAGTCAATTTGTCTTCTCTGGGGCAGCCACCCCGGTGGTAGCCCATCTAGTCCACTCCTCCCATGGTTAGGTCCATATCCAGTCCACTCCTCCCAAGACCCAGATAGCTGAGACCAACATTGGTTAATGGCATTTTTTATAGACTTGATAATATGTTGAAATGAGAAAAACGTGTACATGGTGCAGAAATCATCGCCCATGATAATCTTGTATATATTTTCGTTTTGCAAATTTTCTGGACTCTCAAATCATGATTTCTCTTCTGCCATTTTCATGTGCGAGAATTTTGTATAGATTTATGCCAGAAATAGGAAGTTTACATTTGTCATTAAATACTATTATTTTACTGCAATCATCAGGACCAAGTAACACATCATGGAGTGCCTCGCATGCTAGCCAAGAAGATTCTAGAGGTTTTATGGAAGGTTTTAAGGTAAATTAAGAATGTTTATAGTAGGGGAGTGGTTCAATGGCTCTAGAAATATTTCAGAGCCGTAGTCTATGATATATATGTATATATATTATCTTAGTTAATCCTAGTTGACTCTCTTACTATTTCATAATGTTTTGACCAGCAAGCAAAAGTGAATGGGACAGTGGACTTTGACTCAGGCTCAGGTAGGGCGTTGTTCTTCTATTGCTTAAACTTCATAATTTTCCTTATTCCTGAAGCTCATCTTTGCAACTTGTTTCTTCATTATGATAACTGGGTCATTCTGCACAGGGAGGCCTATGTCAGCACCAGCATCCATGGAGCCTTCGGTTGCGCCACACCCAAAGTCATATATGGAGGTAATATTCTTTATCTTCCCATCCCTTGCTGCTAGGCCTAAAAGTGCTGTTTGGCTTAATCCGGTATTGAAAGAAAAGGAAGAAGAAAATTTGTCACTACTACCAGGGAAGGCTGTTTGGATGAGTGTATTAACTCAAATGTGCTAATGGAATTGAACTGGCTTGACTGTTTCTCTTGGGTGAAAACTGTTGAGAGCTTGATTTCATGATTCACCTTGCAGGTTCCAAAGCTTGACAGTGTACTTTTCCTTCCATATTTTACTACATCTTTAGCTGTTTTCTCTACACACATACAAACTTGTGATTCTAATGCACATATACCCATGACAAGTTGGACAGTGTTTTAAAACGTGRAGGTGTGACGCGAGGTGTTCCACTACCTAGAGGCGTGAGGCGTAGTTCAGAACGTAAGAGGTGTAAGACTCCTGAACACAAGGAGGCGTAAGCCTCCTTAAGAGGAGGGGGTGAGGAGGAGGAAGAAGAGGAAGGGGGAATCTCATTTTTTAAAGATTTTTAATAAAAATCTTTTATATTAAGAACAAAGATGGCACTAGTTGCAGGGGGGGGGGGGGTCTTGTCAAAGCTATGAGGCGTACACCTCAATGGTGTCAGCACCTCTAGCATACGCCTCAGGGCGCTTTGGGTGCGCCTCGCCTGAAGGCATGCCTCCCATGCCTTTTAAAACACTAGTTGGAAAGTTTGCATTAGTATTCCTAGAAATGTGCATTTGCATCTCTTTGGGACAGGAAAAAGGGCACTTGTTCATTTTGCTTCATATTTGATTCATGTGTTTAGAGGATTGAGAATCCATTAAACCTTCTTATTAATTGTGCTAGCAGTAGGGGTGAGAAAATGGTTTATTCGGTTAAAGCCCAAACCAGATAAACCGAAATACTGAAAAACCAAGATTTTCAGTTATTTCAGTTAAAAACTGAATTTCGACACTATATATATTATACATATTATATATGTATTATATGTTAATATATAGTATATAGATAATGTAGTTCAGTTAATTCGTTTTTTTTGGTTAACCTAATTCCTAAACCTGAAAACCGAAACCAGAACCAAAATTTTATAAAACAAGAAAAAAACCGAAACTGAAATTTTTGGTTTTAGCTGAATAATGCTCACCCCTAGCTAGCAGTTAGGAGGAGAAGGTGAAGGTTAAGAGGAGAGAATTGGGGAAACAGAGATAGGTGCACATACACCTATTCTCCTCTTTTATCAACTTATAAGAAGATTGTGTAATTAGAATAATATCAATGTTACTGTTTATTCACAGATGCTACTAGTATAAGCCAAATACAACTACGATACTCCCCCTCAAGCTGGTGCATAAATGTCACACATACCCAGCTTGCTAAGAGTAGTAACATGTTGATATTAGGAAGTGCCTTCATAAGAACATTTGCTAACAGATAAACCTATGGAGGCTAACCTGAAGTTGAATGAGCCAATTTCAGATATAGGGAGGTTCAGTAGTTAGAAGAGAAGAGATAGGTGCACAGAAACATATTCCAATGGGTTCACTGGTGACCCACTTGATAGCAGCGGGGCCATACCTGTTTGGGTTGTTGGTATGCAAAGCGGCATAAAAAATTCTAGAGAGATCGCATAGGAAAGGTAGGGCAAAGGAGGAAATAAGTGGTTCTTATATGGCACATACATGAATTGGTGCACCTGCGACATACCGAATAATAGGGGTGAGCATTATTTGGTGAATTGAAAATTTTGGATTCGGTTTTTTTGGTTCAGTTATTTCAGTTTTTGGTTAATTCAATTCGGTCTTTAAATTAGAAATTTGGTTAACCAAGAAAACCAAAATTTGCTATATAACATGTAATATATTTGTTAGTGTCAAGTATGTAGGGGTATTTCTGTCTTTATACATATGTTGAGGTTGCTGATGTGTAATATTATGTTAGAACTAGTGTCCCTCACTTAAGTAGGGGCACATGTGTCTTTTCCATTATGTTAGTAATATAAAACATATCTGGCTGAATGGGAGAGGTAATTTTTCTCTCATTCGAACCAGACTTTTCTTCTCTCCTTTTCTCCTCCTTTCTCTCTCTTTATTTCTTCTTTCTTCTTCTCTCTTCTTGGCTGTTATCAGACTAACAGAACTCAAGGGCAGACCGAATCATAATATGGTATCAGAGCTCAACTAAGCAACTCGGATCTGCCCAGGTTTCTGTTTTCTGCGCACCTAGTCTAGGGTTTTCTCTTGGTTTGTTTGTCATCGGTTGGAGATAAGGGAAAGGGCTGAAAAGGAGTGGTCGTCCTCTTCCCTTGGAGGTCTCTATGCCTCCAGTTGTGCTGTTCGTGGTCGATTGCTGTGGTTTCTAAGAAGCCCTTCCCTTATCAATGAAGAGAAGAGGGCTGATTTGTGTTGCAGTGAGTGTCTTGTGTGGTTTGAATTTCAGGTGATGAGGTAAGAGATTTCTATGCGTTTTTTTGTTATGAATCAAATAAGAAGTATGTTTTAGATCGTATGGTGGGATTTCAGACTGTAGTGTGTTAGGGTTTATGCTGTTTTCAGTGTGATTCGAAGGGGGAGTGGTCCTCATATAGTGTGGTGAGATTTCAGGTAGTCGTGGGCTAGGGTTTGTGGTGTAAAGACTTCAGCAATTACAAGTGCTGAAACCAGTGTGATCAGTGTGGTGTGGTCTAGTGTGTAGTGTGCCGAATTCAGCAATGGGAGATAGCAGTGATAGCAAATCTAATGTGATAATACCTACTGATTACCTGAATGTTCAAATGACCTCCATTAAACTGAATGGAGGGAATTATGTTCCTTGGGATAAATCTGTAGAAGTTTTTGTAAAGGCAAAGAAGAAGGTGAAACACATAAGGGAGGAAAAACCCTCCACTGATTCTCATGAGTATGATGATTGGGAACAAGAGGATGCACAGATTATCACGTGGTTATGGAATAGTATGGAACCCAAGATTAGTGTAAATTTGATGTTTCTTGACACTGCCAAAGATGTGTGGGACCATGCTAAGAAGTTGTATTCTGGTCAAGACAATACAACCAGAGTATACCAGCTGTATCAGGAATACTTTAATCTGCAACAGGGCAATCAGAGTCTTGAGGAGTACTATGCTAGTATGAGAAACATTCGTAATGAGTTGAACGTTTATCACCTCCTCACTTCTGATGTCAAAATTCAGCAACAGTAAAGAGAACAACTTGATGTGACTGGATTTTTAGTGAGGCTGAAATCTGAGTATGAACCAATGCGGGCTCAAATACTAGGAGGATCAACTCTCCCTTCCTTGGAAGAGGTGTTTGCTCGACTTCGGAGGATTTCCATTGGATCTACTAAGAATTCTAATGTTTTCGATAGATCAACCTTTGCAGTATCGAGGGGCCGTAGTGTTAGAGGTGGAGCTCGGGGAGCTCAGTCTGGCCATAGTGGTAGCAGTGGTCCGGTATATGGCTGGAGTGGTAGCAGTATGAGAGGTTTGTACAGTCCACATCTCAGTAGAGCACGGCTACTCTCGCACACTCAGGTATGGCTTGTTTGGCATCCACACCAATCCCTGGATTGTTGACTTTGGAGCCTCCTATCACATGATTGGAACTCCAAGTGTGTTTTCTTCCCTCTCATTGCTCAACATCACAATCTGTTACCCTTGCTAATGGTTCCACATCCTCCATTTGTGGTGTTGGCAATGTTAACATGACCCCCTTATCTTTATCCTCAGCGTTGTATGTCCCTAAATTTCCGTTTAACCTTATGTTTGTTAGTAAGTTGACCAAGTCRYTCAATYGCTCTATTACTTTTTACCCTTCTTCGTGTGTTTTTCAGGATCTCAAGACGGGGATGAAGATTGGTGGAGGGCATGAAGCTGGTGGATTGTATTATCTTGGTGGTGGAAGATATCATTAGCTCTCCAGTCATCCCTCTCTCCTCTCCAGTGGCACTGTCGATTTGGTCATCCTTCGCTAAAAGTTTTGAAGTCTTTGGTCCCTTCGTTGAGTCAACTTTTTGTTTTAGATTGCGAGTCGTATCAGTTGGGGAAACATCATCATGTTCCCTTTAGTCTTAGGGTTGATAACCGTGTGTTGAGTCATTTTTCTTTGGTTCATTCAGATGTTTGGGGTCCTTATAAAGTGATGTCATACAATGGGTATAGATATTTTGTCATTTTTGTTGATGATTATTCAAGGATGATGTGGCTCTATTTAATGAAAGAAAGGAGTGAATTGTTTACCTTCTTCCAAAAATTTTATGCTGAGATTCGCAACCAATTTGGTGTTAACATTAAAATTTTTCGTTCCGATAATGGCTGTGAATATTTCTCTTCATCATTTCAAGAATACTTGGATCAACGTGGCATTGTACATCAGACCTCATGTACCTACACCCCATAACAAAATGGGGTGGCCGAGAGAAAGAATCGTCATCTTTTGGAAACAGCTCGATCCCTCATTCATCACATGAATGTTCCCAAACCCTTTTGGAGTGATGTGGTGCTTACTTCTTGATTAATCGGATGCTCACATCTATCTTTGATGGTCATTCCCCATCACTACCTTGTTTCCCACCTTGTCTCCATTTCCTCTTTCTCCTCCGGTTTTTGGATGTGTCTGCTTCGTCCATAATCTRGGCCTCAGGAAGGACAAGTTAGATGTACGATCCATTAAGTGCATCTTCCTTAGCTATTCCCGGACCCAGAAAGGGTATGTGTTRTCATCCTAGTTCTCGACATTCCTTTGTGTGTGTTGATGTTACCTTCTTCGAGTCTACTCCGTTTTTCTCGGGGTTCAGTGGTGTTTCTTTCTCCTCATCACCTACTCCTCTTCCTCTTCCAATTGCGGATTTTGTTCCTCTTGTTCTAGTTGTGACCAAGTCCTTGCCTCCAGTGCCACCACCACCACCTATTTTCCAAGTGTATATAGATCATCCACATGTACCGGCTGCTCCTCCAACTCCATCAACGTCGACAAATCCGACAGTTGTCCCCACACTGGCCCCAAACCCAGTATC